GTTTCTTTCTCTTTTATATGTGATAGCATATGGTCTTATTAACACCACAAGTTATAATTTTTTAACATTGAACTTTTTAAGATCAGAAACAGGAAGAATAATTGAATCAATGCATCTGAAAATTAGTCATTTTCTCCATTCTTAATTTTATAGCAGAACTAAAAATATGATTATTTTTTAATAATAATAACGGAATAATAATATAGAAAGACAATTATGCAGTTTTTTTTTAAACTGAAACGAGCCAGCCCATTTGCTTAAGATTACATTAATGCCATCTGAAAACGTATATTGAAAAAGAAAGAAAAAAAAAAAAAAAAAAAAAAAAAAAAAAAAACGCAATTTTTTCTCCAAATTTGAGCATGACGTTTTCAAAATAAAAAAGGACTTATCTTTGTGTCATTTTGACAGAAATATTACATTCTAGAACGTTTCATGAAATAAATTTAAAAACTTTCATTTTAAACCTTTTTTTTCTTATTCTCGAAAGTAAAATACTACGTATCCTAGACTGAAAAAAAATATTGATTATAAATTGATTATTATTTTCAACAGTTTTCAGTTATTAAAGAAAGGCTGCTTCTGATAAACTTTCTCTAAAGCTTTTGATAAAGTTTCCTAAATACACTCTTAGAGAGGGGGGAAAAAACTGATGCACCACGACGCACCGAGAAGGTATAAAGCAAATTAGACATAAATTTATATGCATACAGGTTTCGAAGGAAAATGCAAAATTTTACATTTTGGCTGCCAATGAATGAACGGTTGTCGCTGCAGCGCATCTGATCTGCGCCACTGGCAAGATATTTAAGAGGAGAAATTACGGTTATAGGTCAAAAATTCTTCACGAATTTCATTCCGTGTACTCTGGTAGACAGTACTATGCCTCGCATACAGTGCGCGAACAATATGCACAGATGTCAGATTTTGAGAGAGGTCGTGTAGTACAACAGAAGCAGGTTGGTTTTTATCGGCGAATAGCTCTACATTTGAGCAAAAGCGATGCCACTATTAGACGATGTTGGCAGGAATGGGTGACACAGTGTCAAGAAGGAAGCGGTAGGCCTAGAGAAACGACAGAAAGTGAACACCAAGCAATCGTCAGAGCGGCACTCACAGCTCCAGATGCATCATTATCATCGAAAGTACGTGCTTCAGTGACCGCAAGGACCATTCATAGACGGCTTACAGAAAGGGGGCTGAGGTCACCGCGCCTCTTGCGCCGACTACCATTGACCTCTGTCCAACGTCAAGCCCGTTTGCAGTGGTGTCGGGCTCATTCGCACTTGAATGTCACTGATTGTCTTCAGTGATGAGCTTTGAATTGAGCCTCGATGGCCAGCGAAAGCGAGTCTGGAGACGCCCCGGCCAGCGGTGTGATACCAACCTGACTGTCTTCCGGCAGACAGGCCGACAACCAGGAGTGATGGTCTAGGGTGCCATTTAATTTCACAGTAGGACCCATTTGGTTGTCATCCTTACAGCACAGCGGTACGTCGACGAAATTCTGAAGTCCGTTGTGTTGCACTTCATGTCACGCTACCCTGGGCTTACATTTCAGCAAGATAATGCCCGCCTCCACTCTGTACATGTTTCTACTGCTTGCCTTAATGCTTGTCGAACATTAACTTGGCCAGCAAGGTAGCTGGATCTCTCTCCTATTGAGCACGTTTAGAGCATTGCAGGGCCCTCCAACCAGCTCGGGATGTTGACGATCTAACGCGCCAGTTGGACAGAATTTGGCACGATATCCCTCAGGAGGACATCCGCAACCTCTATCAATCGATGCCAAGCTGAATAACTGCTTGCAATAAGGGCCCAGAGGTGGACAAACGCGTTACTGACTTTTTCACTTTGTGAAGCTCTATTACTTCAATAAATCATCCAATTTTTCTCAAACTGTATTCATTTTTTTTTTTTTTTTTTTTTTTTTTTTTTTTGTTTTTTGTCTATGAGTGTATTATTTTTAAACACTGCGTTAAAGAAGTCAAGAAAGTGCATGTTAAAAGTACCAGTATTTTAATTTAAATATTGAAATGTAAAAAAAAAAAAAAAAAAAAAAAAAAACTATATTTTCTAAAAATTTATTTCAATAGCTAATAAAACTGCGTCTCTAAACAACCCTCAATTTCTAGTTTTGAAAATCCTGTTTTGGAATGCTACGAATATACGTAACTGACAATTTTCCTCATTGAACGGCAAAAATTTCTTGAAATATTTATTTATTTGTTTATTTATTTGTTTGTTTTAATATAAATAACAAAATTCTTATAATGTCTTTTTTATTTAATTCTGCGATTTATTGTAATTTTTGACGTATCATACTTTCCGGCGTATAAGTCAATATGTTAATAGAAATTGCACCCCTCAAGAGCTGATAAGCTGGATATAAAACTAACAATGGCTAAAATAACAATTGCTTATATTTTTTAATGAAATTCAATATTATATTCATTAAAGAGGTTAATTATGTATTTTACCATTCTTGATGAAATTGTAAATAAATGAAAAATACTTTTAGTCGTAAAAATGAAATCCATTGTATGAAATGTTTATGAAGCGAGAAAATAATAGTGGCCATATGCAAAGCATGTTACAAAGTAAATTTCTGCAGGTAAAACCACTTTTATGAAACTTTCAGTAGTATGTATATACTATTACGTTATTTTCTTCCTTCGCGTTCATACAGGGTTCGTAGATTTGTAGAGAATAACAACGACACTTGTTGACGTATCGAAACACACTTTATTTAATATTAATCAGGACAGCTCCAAAGTCACGTTTTACAGTCGTCGAAGATCTACTATACACTCGCTGGAACAATCAGTGACACAGCCTTCCTGTTATCAGGCTATAAAGGTGGAGACCGCTTCATTGCAAAGCACCAGAGTACAGTTTCCGACTCCCTTCGGTCGTTCTAGGAACTCCGAGAATGAGTTCCGAGAGTGTACTCGAGACTCCCTACGCTACAACTCGCTATGCAGTCGACTACACACAGAGCACAGCTCCCAACTCTTCGGTTCAGTCGTTCCCGGAGCTCATCACGCTCTCTCGACGATGCACTAAGAGACTCTTTCGATGAAGTCGGCGACCTACCCGGCACTCGCTGCCCGGCTGTTAACTCGATCACTCACTGCACGGACTAACTAACTAACTAACGAGATACACTAACTATCTCGCACTCATTCTCCGCGTACCAGCAGGGTTTATATATTTTTTGACTTGTGTTCGAGAACATTTTGAGCTAAACCGGTAAGAATTCGTTCCAGAAGCTTCTCCATCCGTCCATAGCATATCGCCAATTTTGTCGCCAAATGGGCGATTTCTCGCCAAATGTAGCAACCCTTCCTTCATTTGCCATTGTATGGCAACCCTAGATCTGCTTTGCGGGGAAGCTATCTTACCGCGCCTGGACAATTCATAACAATACCTGAAGTCAACTATCATCAACTTAAAATAAACTTCCTTTTTAACCTTCTGTTGTGTACCATTGTAGGATCCCATCCTGTGTCTGAGTTACCAAAAGTTTACCAACCATTAGGCTTACCAAAGTACCCAACCATTAGAAAAAGTAACCACCAAGTTTATCAAAGTAACCAACCATTAGATTTAATTTTTTATATGACTTTATTATGGCATCGGTTCTTCTGCTTTCAGAGATCGAAAACCTAGATCAATTTATATAGGTACTGGTAGAAGCTAGGCCAGCACTTCAGTATTAACCCAAGTATTTGAAGTATTGATGATCTTAGCTAACTGTTAAGTTTCCACCCAGTTTTGAGGAAGATCATCTCAGGTGACTGATCCTACCATCTACCTCTCGAAAGGATTTTCGGCTCGCCGTGTATTCTGAGTGCTCCCTTGTCGTATAGACACTATGCGTTTACAAACACATATGCCTTCTCCAGGGTTTGAGCCCGAGCAGATAGATAATGCAATCAGCGTTATTAATCACCATACCGGCTGGGCGACTGATCAACTTATATGCCAGATGTACTTAGAGTTATTTATTCATTATGTAGGTTAAAGCTGAGGGTCGACTTATAGCTAGGAATATTATTGCTAGAAAAATATATGTCTTGCGTATCATAATTATATAATTAGGTTTGTCTTTCTTTTTTCTTAGAATTAGAATTTTGGGAAGAACATAAACACCAACGTTCTTTTGTTAAACATTTAAGTTCGCTGTAAAGGTTAATTTGGTTTCGTTTAAGTTTGATCAAACACATTGTATATGATCTAAAACTTGAACAGATTCTAGAAAATGCCATCAATTTAAAAAAAAAAAAAAAAAAAAAAAAAAACTTAATGTTGAGTACAAAGCCACCGCCAGATTACCGCACTAGGCTAGCAAGAAGACTAACGCCAGGCCTAGTTAGGTGACAAAGTGTTTAAAATCAAAATGAAGGCAACCTTGTGTAAAATCACTTTCGAAAAAACCTCGTTCAGTCTTAGAATTTCTATATAGATATACAATATCAACTGACATTAGGGGAACAAATTGTGGAAAATTCTAACAAAAATTGTGCAGCGTACGTTGCTCGTTCGCTCTTTGTGTTATGTAACTTATGTCATCATTCCGTATTTCTTTCCTTTATTTAATATAAAAGATTTTTAAAATGTTTTTTGATTTGGTACATAACATTTGCATTTTTCGTTATTGTTAAAAGTGAAACACTTATTTAAAATTTGATATTTCGTTTTTGTAAGACGAAGTTCGAGCACTTTTGATAAAATGTTCGTAATTTACCACTGCTTACACTACGCGTCGATTAATATGCTTCGACGCGGTAATATTTCTTGATTAATAACGCCGTAATACTTTTTGTGTGGTATATGATTCTTGTTTTTTTGCCTTTGTCCAATCTGTGCAATTTTTTTAATATGTTTTAATGTTTCAAGACATTGAAATCAAAACACATTTTATTTTTTATTTTGAGTCTATTCTTGATTTACAGTATTCTTTAACACGATTTCTTGCAGAATATTTCACTCATCCTTTGTTCAACAACGACAGACCACAGTAAGATTTTAATATACCTCATATACTCCTTTCATTCAGCGAACTGTGCTAATTTATATAGCTATGGTTTATATTTAAAATTTTCTTAAATCACCAGAAAAGATTTGTATTAATTCGTGTACTTATTTCAGTTCTCTAAATTTTGGAGCCATAGGTTTCGTGATCGGTCAAGCAATAATACATGGATTCGATGAAGCAGGTGGGGTAATTTTTTATGTTTAACTATCAATAAATAAAAAAAAAGAGTAAAGCATACAATATATATTGCTTTCTAAGAAGTAAATAATAATTCTAAGAAGTATGAAACTTTAAAATATTGTAGTCATCAGCTTTTCCATACCTTTAAAAAACCGGATGCTGGAAACAAAAAGAACACTCATTGTTTTATTATACCATAAAATTAAAAAAAAATTAAAAAACAACATAAACCCAAAAAATCTGAAAACCTTCAGATTTTATATAACGCTCAAAGGAGTTTTTTTAACGTTTTGTATGTTACCTTTGTTTATTTAATGTTAGGGTCTTTGCTCTTAAACCGCATAAAATTCAGTTCAACAACAATATCACAAAATAATTTAAAAGCAGCATATCTTTAGAATATCTGATAGACATTCTCGCGCGTACGAGATAAAAACGTTTTTTTCCGTGCAATGTTGCCATTGCTCGCTTTGAAATCATTGAGTTTGTTTACCAATAAGTTCGTTAAAGTTTTACTAAATATGAAACAGATAATAAAGCAAATTAGAAATTTAAAATTCTTGTTTCTAAGTGCCCATGTTCGGGGGTAGGATTGCTTTATTCAAAATTTGATGGCTCTAGGTACCCTAGTTTTTTCACAGTCCGATACATTCATGCAGATTCTTCATTATTTAATTTCTTTAAATATAATACAGGGCTATAATATTTCATGGCAACAATTTAAAAAGTTATTCGCCATCTATAGCGAAATGTCACAATATGCAGTTTTCAGACTAATAGACCTTCTGCTCTACCGGTCTTTTGGCCTAATAAATGAAAAAGATTTGAAGACACAAATTATCATTTACAAAACGTTTTTGTTACGTGAGACATACATGTCAATGATGCGTTATTTTTTATTTTGAAAGAACAACTTTAAAATCTTTTAAATGCTTGCTTATTAGAGCGATATACGTATATTAAAATGACACGAACATTGTCATCAGCTTGAAAGTCATTCAGCTGAAATTATTCAGAGCACGTTTTAATTTATGATTTCAGTTTATGATTTGTAGCTAGAGATTAACGATTATTCGTGAACTGTGAGGAATTCAGATACCATTAGCAGAAACCTCATCACTCATTATAGTATCTCTAATGCCCATAACTATCACTCCACAGCATGGAAATGTAGTAGAAGAAAATGATACTGTAAACAAAGTTAATGCGCATACCTCGAGCAGGTAATGACAGGCTGGAGACATAAATAAAAGCAGCTGCTTAATCTTCACTCAGTCAACAAAAAGAAGATAGACAAATAAATTTAAACTATGTAAACATTCTGCACTTTAAATTTACTTATTTGTTTATTTTTACCCTGAAGACTACTAGTTAATAATTTTCGGTTTCTCTCTGCGGAGATGGTTCGCCGGCTGCCGTGTTCTGTAATGGAGAACCCAAGGTATCACTTGTCCGATAATAAGATCGATGTTCCATCATTTTCATTCTTATGTCATAATATTTATCTTTGCTTTATCTAAGCACCTCCTTCGGGGCAGTGCTCCAACAAGCTAATTTGTCCTTGTAATGTCTTTGGTTAATGTGCTATAAGGTATTTCTCCCGCCTTGTTAGCATGCCTTCGTGATAGAGTGGTCAACACGCTCGGCACGCATTCGAGAGGTCCGAGGTTCGAGTTACGGCGATGGCATTGCTTATTTTCACTTCTTATACTTCGAAATAACCTAACGTCTCTAAAGTGGCGCCAGAAGTAAAAGGGTGGTGGATGATGATTCTCCACCACCAGGATTTGGTGACTGGGTCCCCTGATCCCCAGTCGCCCTTTAAAAGGGAGAGTAGGTATTTATCCCGCCTTCTTAGCATGCCTTCGTGGTGCAGTGGTCAGCGTATTCGAGAATTCTGAGGTTCGAGTCCCGGCGACGGCATTACTCATTTTCACTTCTTCTGCTTCGAAGTAACCTAATGTCTCTAGGAGCCAACTCTGTTGCCAACCTGGCTATATCTCATATATAGACAGACTCGGTGCTCTGGTCACATAAATAAGCTTCACAGGGACTAGAGCCACCGATTTTTCGGTGGTCCGTTCTGGCTCGGCAGTGACCTTACTGGTACTGCCAAGTCTTGAACCGGGCTGTGTGTAAGCGCTGCATCGCCGATAGAATTCTAGCGGCAGGTGCATATCCTAATATACACAGTGCATTGGAGCTATATCGTATAAAGGATATTTCTTCATACCTCTACCACTAATATTTACCCGACTAGTCTATGTAAGCCGTCCGGGTGTCCGGACCTGCTCTTACCACTAATATTTCTGTGATACTGTGAAGATTAAAAGGCATTTATCTAATAATACAGCGTACTTATTGTTTGACACAACTATAGCCTGTTATTTTAGACACTTCAAGGCAAATTCTTTTTCCTCTACCTTGCCTCGTAACTATGGTGACAACTGCTGCGGTAAATGGTATAGCTCTTTAATTTGCTAAAATCTTCTAATCCTTTCTGTGTGGTGATGAGGCATAGGGAAAAATCATTATGACCTTGAAGTGTCCATTTTAAAGTAATAGAATTTAGCTGTTCGCTGTCAAACAGGCTCATGCCATGTATCTCATCAATCAAACAATAGTTATTATCATACCAAACATATGCTATTTATCAGGCATGAACCTTGTCACATAATGACCTCGTAATTTAAAGTTGCAGTGAAACTTCTTTAACATTCACTCGGTTAAACCATCACCCCGCTTAAACCATTGCTTTCGTAAAGATCTGGGCTTTCGAAAAGAAAATAACGATAAAAACCTGATAAATCTACATTTCAAAAGTGTCATATCGGCTTAAATCGTTAGCTTTTAACGAGATAATATTTATTAACCCACTCATCCGCTGGTATGAAAAATGTTCATCTTTTTAACATGGTATTCCTGAAAAATCATGTTCGTGCCCTGCTTCCTTTGTTTCAGTTAAGCTTTGCTAACAAAATGTTATTTAACTTAATTATTTTCTCTTTGCCTCTTTTCGGCCAAGAGGTTTGCTCATTCTATAATATATATAGATTTGAGGGGAAAGCAGTTGATTATAGCAAAGTTTTTGCCAGTGCTAATGTTGGTATTGCTGTGAATACGGTAAACTGAGATTAGATCATGTTGTGGTAAGTGTGCATTTGAATCTCTGCTGTGATCTATATAAGATTTTTCTTTGTTCAGGTTAGATGCAAGCTGCTGAATTTATATCCGTTTTGAGAATCCGTTTTGTCTTGAAGCTAAGTACAATTTTTTTTTTCAGAAAATCTCCGTTTTGTCTTGAAGCTAAGTACAATTTTTTTGGCAATTTTATGTTTGTATATTTTATCACTTGCGAGTGATGAGGTAGAATAAACTGTTTCAGTTCTGTGTTTGTTTGATGGTTAGTATTCTGGTGATGATAATTCATTTCCCAGAATGTGAACGGCATCTTATTGAGAGTTAATTGCCCTAAGTAACTGAAATCCACAGCAGAGGTTGCAATCTACTGGATTCACCTTAACCCACTAGATTGAGATTTATATTTACAAACTAAGCCTTATTACGCTTTAAATAATTCACCGATGAACTACCTTAAACGAATTGGCATAAATTACATTTATAAATAGAAAAAAAAACACTAGTATTAAAAAAGGACATTTAGAAACAAGGTTTTCTCTGTTCGGCAAGGTGTTGTTATTTTTCCTCCTGATCTGAACGTACTCTAAATTAGATTCACTACTTCTTCGGAGAAAGTCTTGCGCCTGTCATTGGGCTTAGCTCTCTTATAGGTCAAGCTTAACTCTCTTTATAGGTGACAATCCGAGTTTGCCAGCTCCGTTTCAATTTTTTGATGGAGAAAGCTTCAGAGGATGGATCCAAGGATCTTCTAATCTTCCCTCTTACCATTAATCTTTTGAGGGGAATTTTAACTCTTGTATTTTAAGCACCCCTATGTCGCATGTAAACTATACGGTTATAAATGCATTCTTCATAACTCTAACCTGGGCCCCATGTGGCATGATGATTCTGTAGCAGCCTCTGGAAAAGTGTTTTCGACTGGCAAAGAGATTTCCGTTTCATTGTGGTAATCAGCTGTTTTAATTTGTTGCTTCAGTATACAGATACATAGATATAAAGCATAAGCAAATGCAACTAATGCCCCCATTCTAACATGCAATAAGTCAAAATATTCACATAACAATTTTCTTCATTATCTTGAAATTCAAAGCAACATATTATGGCTCGCCATTATTTTCAAAGAACTTTAAGCTCTTGTAAACAGTTTTAATATTCACCAAATGTTCTACCTAATTCTACAGGCAATCATGTGATTAACTTGGGACCTCTTTTAAATACTTTAATGCTTATATGAGCATTAAAACGAAAAGAGAGTCGCAAGTGTTCTTTTTTAATGTGTCAGAGAGCATTGTTGGAAAATTCTTGCAGTAAAGTTAGGCTCATCCCATTCTGAAAGAACATAATTTGTATGCAATTCCTTCTAGTATTTATGTGATGTATTTTATGTATGTGTGCATGCTTTTCGTAGATAGTTTGAATGTCATGTTTACAAAAGCGCTTTGAAAGTTTTATTGACTGATATTCTTTGAAAGCATTTATTTTGAAATAAAAGAAACAAAAAACTAACTACATTTCATACTATTACACCAAAGTCGTATTGATGATTTTTTTAAGAGAAAGAATAGTATAAGAAAGAATAAATTTCTTTATATTATTAATAAAAAAATAATATAAAGAAATTCTTTATGTAAGAAAGAATTTTTTCAACAGTATTCGGTTGAATTCATCATCAAATTAATAATTATGGTTCAGAGAAAATTGTATAAAAGATGGTATGTTTTCTTATATTACTTTTAATACTAATGACAATGTTACAGTTCGGGTGTATGATACAGATCATAACAATGCCAATGTTATGGGATACTTGACAGCCGACCTATATCATCATAAAGCCCAGTGTATCCAAATACAACACTGTTT